ACCTTGCGTCACGGCGCGTGGGGGAGAGCAGGGAGCTCACTGTGGAGAGGGTGGTGGGCAGACGGGGCTGCGCTGTAGACCGGAGAGACACTTGAGAGATAGCAATGACCGAGGTACACACACATGGAAAGTCAGGGAGATGTGGCAGAAAGTTTGGAGGAAAACAGTAGAAGGGAACGTGGGAGGACTTGAGTCTGGTGATCACAGTCTTCTTCGTGAGGAAAAGTTGAGGTTCCTGGCCAAGAAGGGACAAGATGGCAGTGAGGTGGGTGGTTTCAGCAGAGCAGTAACATTTTCAGATCAAATCTGAAGGCTGTGGGAAAGGAGCTACTGCAGACCAGCGAAAGGCATGCTGGGTGCATGGCACACACTGACTGTTCCACAGTGCACCTCTGTGCTGCCCAGCCAGTTCCAGCACCAGGGAAGGCGGGGGCTGAAGTGGGTCATGGGTTGCAGAGCTGGGACAGCGGGATGGGGGTGGGCATGCTTTGAAGTGCTCCACGCTGAGCAAGGCGGCTGATGAGGAAGAGCAGGAGAGAAGTATAGGTGATCAGGGAGCAGGCATGGGCACAGCGCTGCTGGCAGCCCAGGGTTCTCCTCCTAGGACAGCTTCTTTCCAGGGGGTACATGGTGCTCTGCACACTGCACCCTGCATCGGAGTTCCCCCAGGAACCTGGCCAGCCTCACATAGCGGATGTACTGCCTGGGGTCCAGGCAGGTCTCCCCCTGACATCGTGGGGGTGGCTGCCTGCCCCTCCAGTCTGCAGCAATGCCTACTGCGGGTGGGGTTGTGGGAGAGCGCATTCTCGATGACCCCAGGAGGACCAGACCCGATTTATGAGAAGCTGTGTGGTGCCAGACCACAAGTGTGGCCATAACCTCTTAATCCCTTCTTCTTTGAAAGCGGCCTAACCACCTGTTTACAAAACGGTATGGACATAAAGACTGTTTTCTCAGAATTCCATCTGATCTCTGCCTCAAGATCTGCTTAAAAGTATATCAAAAGGAATGTCTCTTAGAAATTTAATATAATTGCACTATCCAAAAAGTCCCTATTTTGCTTCTTCATGAGCACTTGGGTTCTTTGGCATCAGACCACTGCAGCGTGAGAAGCAAAGCGGTTTGGATAACCTGGACAGCCACCGGGTATGTGGAGAGCTTTAGGAGCAGTAGCCAAACAGTTTACATTGTCCGTCAAGTACTGACATTTTTATGTAAAAATGTTTAAAGAGAAGCCTAGCAGGTATTTCATAAAATGTTTTATGTGATGCAGGAACCAATAAACATAGAAAATGCAGGTTGTTCTTTCCCTGGGCAAGTCTGCAGACTCAAAGTGCCAGCTCTGTGTTGGGCGGTGAGTAGAGGGACAGGGCCAGGCCCCATCCTTGGTCCTGAGGTTCCCTGGTCTGGACGAGGGGGAGGCACCTAGAGAAGGAACCAAGAGTCTGAGTGGTCAGTGCTGTGGAGCTGTCCTGGGGCAGTGGGGAGGATGGGGGCAGTGGCCACTGTCAGGAGGTGCCTCACCCTCTGAAGAACAGCAGAGGAATACAGAACATGGTACATTCCCAGCCTGGGGGAGTCTGGGCCATGAGCCACATCTAGAAGGACATCCGGAAGCTTGCTAGATGCAAACATCCAGAAAGGGGTTCTAGAAAGAGGAGCTGATTGCAAGAGCTGCAGCAGTGAGCAGCCAAGGCAGGTGGAGGCCCATGCAGCAGGCGGACAGTGCCCAGGCACAAGGCTGCTCAGAAGGCTGAGCGAGAAGACACAGGAGCTTGGACACCTTGAGCTGACTTACTGAGCACCCTCAAATATTGCTCTGCTACTAAGGAAACCCAGACCCAGAATTGTACTACCTTCCCCAAGTTGCCCAGGAAGTGCTGGACCCAGGATTTGAGCCAGGTCTCTCAGGCGGCTAAGACAGTCTTCTTTCCCTGCACCATGAGACTGCACTCCCCTCAGCTGCTCAGTGGTCTTCAGACTTTCTTTTGTTTTGCCCAAACTTTTTGCAATAAAATCTTAAACCCAAACACAAAGATACAAAAACAGATCAGATTTCATGAGCATAAGTAGCCCAAGTTCGTATCATATTTAAATGTATAACACAAGATTAATTAATAAAAGCAGTGTTTTCCTTTCTTTATAAGCGCTTCCATTTTGGAATTCTTTTAGATTTAGAGAAAAGTGGATGGAACAGAGAGGTTCCACGCACCCCCCAGAACCCCTATCATTAACACCTTACAGTACCGTGCGGTCCATTCCGAACTCGGAACCCACACTGGAGCATTACTGTTAACTTCACACTTTCTTTAGATCTCAGTGATATTTCCATTAGTGTTTTCTTTCTGTTCTAGGGTTTAGTCCAGACCCAAGTTGCAATAACTTTCAAACAAACACTGAAACATCACATCAGAAATTATGTTATCAGATGTTCAGTTTTATGAGTTAAAGTAAGACACTGCCTTGAACACGTAGAAGAAATATTTACTAACTGGATTTTTAAAAATAGAGATTAAGCCCTGGACTACTGTCATTGCAACAAGCATGAAGGGTGAGCAATTGTCTCCTAGTGCAGCCCAGAGGAGAATACAGGAATTCACACCCAGCAAACTTGGTTTAGTCTGCTGAAGTCAGCTCAGGCTCCCATAAGAAAATGCTGCAGACCGGAGGACGTCGATAAGAAACATTTCATTTGTTTCCACCTTTGGATCCTGAAGTCCCAGGTCATGGTGCCAGCCAGTCTGGTTGCTGGTGAGACCCCTTCCTGGCTGTATATGGCTGTGACCTCTCGTGGCTTGCTTTCTGTGCCGGCTCACAGAGATCAGCGTGTTCTCTCCCACTTCCTCCTGTATAGTTGCCAACCTGATGGGATTCAGCCCCACCCTATGACCTCATTTAATCTTAATTACCTCCTGAGGACCCTGTTTCCAAATGCTGTCAAACTGCTGCTTATGCCTCAACCTACAGAATAGGGAGGGGGTTTGACTAGAATTGAGTCTATGGCTGAGTCCAAAGGCTGAAAGTATGCAAAGCCCTGTAAGTCAGTTATGAAATTGTATGATAGTGAAACTTACTTACCCTCGTTATACAGTGATGTAGGTAAAACACTTAACACAAGAAAATCTTAAGTACTTAGATGACATTTTGATGCACCATTAAACAAGTTAACCAAGAAAATTTATTGTCATCTGAGCTGATGGTGCAAAATCAGGGTCAAGGAAAACATTTCAAAGGTAGCTGTTTTATGAAAGCTATTACCAGAAGTTTTCAGGTCCTCATTAGGTTTAACATAGATTTTAAAAGACACTGCGTCCTTTAATGCTACAAAATTATTACTTTCAGTGATGTGGGCCATGCATTCTAGAATTTGCTTTTCCACACCAAAGATATTTATACTGAGGCATAGTAGAAGTGCAGACCCTTCACACTGAGAAGAAACCACTGTGGTTTGTGTTGTTTTGGCACTAAAGAAATGGCAACCCCACCTGCTCCTCTATTCTTGGTCACTCAGCCCAGGGCCCAGCATTGTGGGGTGGGGGGTATAAGTGTGGGGAGGAAACAGCTGCCAATTCAAAGTGAGGTGGGTGGACTACATACCATTACTTTTTAAAAATGGGAAAGGGAACAGAGTTGAAGGCAAGAGGAGAGTGTGAAATATCTTGGGGGAGTACAGATACATTCATTTCATCTTTGGAATGGTAGAGAAAACAAGTAATAATCTGGTCATCATTTGAAAGTAAGTTGAAAACAATTTTTTTTTTTTTGGTACTGGGGATTGAACTTGGGACCTTGGGCTTGCAAGGCAGGCGACAGAACCACTGATCTAAATCCCCAGCCCTGAAAACAAATGTTTTAATTAAAGAGGATATGCCATTCAGCATGTTTAGTATGAGATTTAAAGATCAGTAAGAGGAAAATCCTTTAGGTTTCAGAAATTGCCACATAGGTGAGTAGTTGGCCCGTGTTCATCCAGGAGGCCTGGACGTATGCACTTTTCTGCTTTATTGCTATAGTGATACCTCATTAGAGTATTTCTGTTAGTGTTCCAACATGTGACATGATAAACTGTGATGTTCAGTTACTAAGTCAGGTAACCGCTTAATTTTACTTTGATGAGACTCCGAAGAGTTTACATCTAAGAGTTTAGCTCACCCAGAATAGTTATATTCAAAGCATAAGCCTTTCCGGAGTGCAGAGCTTTGGGCTTACTTCTGCTATCCCTCAGTCTCCACGGGGGACTGGCTGTGGAATCCAGCGGTGCCCTGGCCCCTTTGATTCGATGCCACAGCCATATGTCTTCCTGTGTGTTTTAAGCCATCTCTGGATTCATCATAATCCCCAATACAATGTAAATGCTATGCAGATTGTTATACTGTGTTGCTTCGGGAGTAATGACAAGAAAAAAAGCCTGTAACTGCTTGGTAGAGGTGCTTTTTTTTTTTTTCCCTGGTACTGGGAATTGAACTCAGGACTTGCACTTGCCAGGCAGGCACAGACGTTTTCATTTTTGTAAGATTTTTCCATCCAAGATTGTGGAATCTATGAATGCAGAACCCAAGGATCCAGAAGACTGACTATAGATAGCAAAATGGAGCTCCCTCTCTCTCTCTCCCTCCCCCCCCCCTTTTTTCTTTCAAGTCCTTAATAACAGTGGGAATTAACCCAGGGCCTTCACACCAAGCTATATCCCTCCCCCCTTTTTAAATTTTGACACAAGCTTCACTAACTTGCCCAAGCTGGCTCCGTCTTGGCATCCTCCTGCCTCAGTCTTTCCTACCTTCTGTTACCAGTTCTTCCTGTTTCCCAGCTCACACTCCCTTGACACCAGTGGCCCCTGTAAGGGTCAGAGGCATGGTCTTTGCAGCCTTCCGGTAGCACAGCTTGGGTCTTCAGCTCACTCTGGGGTCTCAGTGGGTCCCGGCTCTGCCCTCTGGGCTGCTCCTGAGCTGGGGCAGACTCTGGGTGTTGGAGAGGTGCTCACGGCTGTCCTCTGTTCGCAGGTGGTCCCCATGCTTCCCAGGCTGCTGTGCGAGGAGCTGTGCAGCCTCAACCCCATGACTGACAAGCTGACCTTCTCTGTGGTCTGGACGCTGACCTCCGAGGGCAAGGTAACAGCATATGGGTTGTCGTGCGCCCTCCTAACATCACCCCATCCTGCGCGTCATGCTAAGCACCCGGTGTGCACCTGGTCCTGGACGACCTGTGCAGGGGGTGGCATCAAACTAGGGGGACTCTACGGGCGTGTGCTAGGGCTCCTTGGACATGACACTTTAGAAGGATGTGTAGGACGACTTTGGATGTGGGGGCAAATTTGCAAAGTAGCACTGTGAAGAGGCGGGGAGGGGATGCAGCCCGGAGGAGAACAGAGGGGAGAGGCCGGCCCACGAGCCCTCTCTGGACCGGGGATAAAGCAGAGACACACAGAGATGACTGTGGGAAAAACCAGTTCCCTTCCCCAAAGCAAACACGTGTGCATCCAGAACACAGGCACGATTCAGAAGCCATGGGACCTGCTCAGGAGAATGGGTCTCGTGCAGTTACTGCAGATGGTTATAGCGACCATGGAAGGACATGGGAAATGTGGATGCTGAAATATTAAGTGGAAGTTAAAAAAAAAAGATATTTAATTATAAACACAATGGAGCACGACCCTGCTATAAAGAAAGATATACCTGAGTCATGTGCAGGAAAATGGGTTCACCTTGAGACCATAATGGTAGGTGAAAATAATCAGACACACAAACTTAGTTATTGCATGTCTCTCTTATGTGAAAAACCCAAAATATAAATAAAGAGCAAAATAAAAGATAAATGGGAAGAGGATCGAGAGATGGAGGGAGGAGAGAGGGAAGGGAAAGAGGATGAAGAAAGGAATTTTGCAATGTTACACACATGTACCACCTCCACACAGGCAATATAAATATTAGGTACTACGAACATGTACTAATAAAGAAATTAGAAAAAAAACTTTAGTCAATAAGTAAAGGAAAGAAGTTCCAAATAAAGATGGAGGATTGAATACACACATTCACTTTCATTCCCTCCCAAAACCTCACTAAAACAACAGTAGAGAGATTTTTTTTTTAAGACCTAAACCCACAAGGACAGAGAGTGGGAGAGGAGACAACAGCAACAACGTTTTGGAAGCCGGGTAGCAGATGGATGAGTGGTAACTGACTTAGCGTCCTGAGAAAGCTAAACCCTGAGCCAGCAGCGAAGGAAGCCCAGAAGCGAAAAATTCCAAAGTTGACAGCAGTGGGTCACTCTGCACGGCGGGGAGGGGTGGGTGACAGACAGGCTGGCAGCAGTGTGGGTTGGAAGTTTAGTTCACTAGTTTGGCCCCCAGGTCTTCTCAGAGGCCAGCGATTTATTTGGGGACAGGACAGAGGAAGGGCTGTGTGAATGAGGGCACAGCAAGCACACATGGTGACACGTTCAAGGGGTGAGCACGTCGGCCACCAAGAGTCAGGAGTCCCGGGGTGCTGTTCCCAGCCACCTCCAGAACCCTGGGAGCCAGGCCCTTATGGAGAGTCAGAAGGGGACAGCTTTCTCCGAGGAAAGACTTCTAACCCCAGGCTCCGGATCAACAGCCCAGCTCCGTGCCCCGCACTGACACTTACGTGAGCTCCATACAACCAGGCCTCCTCAGGGTTCTGCTTCCATGTTTGAGAGACAAGAAAGGAAAGTGAAATTGGATGAAGTAAACAAACAGGAAAAAAAGGAGCTAGGACCTAGGTAAAGAAACCATCTTTTATATATATATAGAGAGAGAGAGAGATTTTTAATTTTTGGGAGAGAGTTTCTGTGTCACAAGATCTAACTTTAAAAAAGCAACATTTGGAAGAAGAAAAAAAATGTACTTATAGAAATTAAAAACAGGGTAAAACAAAGAGAAGATTCTGGTTGGAAGGTGAAGTTGAGGAATTATCTCAGAAAGAGAAAAGATTAAAAAAAATTAAAGGACCAGTTCAAGATAGGCAGCATCTGTTCAATGAGCATGCCAGCAAGACCACAGAAAACCAAGGAGTGAAATGATGACCAAAATAATTCTAGGAAATGCCCCACTCCTGGAGGAGATGACTTTCCAGAGTGTAGGAGCTCACTGCCAGCCCAGTGGTAGAGACAGGTCACCTCTAAGGCTTACATCGTAGAACTTCAGGACACTGGAGATGAAGGAAGAAGGATCTCTAGGTTTCTTCATAAGAATAACATCAAACTTTTCCAGTACAGCCCTGGAAGCTAAGTGACAATGAAGTCCACTGTGTCCATTTCCGAAAGGCTGTGGTGTCCGAGCTGAAAGTCCATACCCAGCTGAGCCGCCCGTCGACGCCGAGAGTAAGGAAGGGCATTTGCAGATGCACACGGCCTCACAGGGTGCACTCCTCAGAAAATGTGGAGGACAGCCTCACCACCGCAAAAGAGTCAATCTTGAGAAGGAGGGAGACCAGGACTCTGTCAGTCACCACTGTTTAGATGACGGGAAGGTTTGGAGTGGACTAATATACATGGTGTACAGAAAGATCAAACTAAAACCAACACAAATCCTAGTGAAGGCAGAGTTGTATGGGAAAGAAGAGTAACACTTAGTGTTTACAAACTGAGTTAAGGTATTGATGAGTGAATTCTGACAGCTGAGTGTAACTGTGTCAGGAACGGTGCCACTGAGAAAGGAAGTGTGGGGCGGGCAGGGGCAAAATAAATTCCAGGGTGAAAAGTTTACCGGTAGCGACTTATCTAGAAGTAATAAGCAGGTCTTATAGAAATACAGCAATTAACATCAAAATAATCTGTTAAAAGAGATAAAAATGGTTACTCTAGGGGAGTGAGAAAGGAGGGAGAAGGACAGAGAGCTGCTGTTTTTTCATAACAAGCTTTTAAAACTATATATTTTAACCTTTTTATTTTATATTGAAAAATTATGGACATATATGAAAGTAAATAAAATAGCACAATGAACTTAGCATCCTCGTCTCCCAGATTCAACTTCTGTCGAGGTTTCATTCATGTCACTTCACTTATACATGTTTTAATTCGTGACTAAAAAATCTGGACATTTTCTTATGTAACACAAGGCTCTTAGCCCTCCTAACAGTGAATATTAATGCCAGGGTGCCAACCAAACCCAGTCCATAATACGGTTCCCTGACCATCTCCAGTTGATTTGCCCAAATTGGAATAAAAAGTCACATGCATTACATTTTGTTTTCATGGCTCCTAAATATCTGGTAAAAAGTTCCTTTTTAAGATTTAAGAGGCAATCATTATCTGAAATACAAGGAAGGAATTATTAATACAGTATGCCAGCAACCATACTCTGGTGGGGGTGGGAGCAAGCATGGGGGAAATAATGAATGGAAAAAGACCAGAAGGAAATAAAACAGGATGCCAACCATGGTTGTGTTCGGGTAGTAAAACTATGAGTAACTTTTTCTACTTTTTTGTGTTTTCTAATGTTTTCGAAAGCATGTATAACTTTTATATTTTTATAAGGGCTTATTTTTGCAAAAGCTTAACTAAACAGAAAATAAAAGCCCATAGAAGAAAACTAACTTGAGTCTACAGAAAAGAACGTCGAGTGTGAATTATCCTGCCAGGGTCAGTCCCAAGAAATAAAAATCTGCCTGATCTAATGAGCTTCTAAAATACAAGTGTCATAAACGCAGCACTAGAAAGCGGCAAACTCTGGCACTCCTGGGGATTCTTGGAGCGGTGTCTGGTGCCCAAGTCTTGCTCCCTGCAAGGGGCTGAGGGCAGGTGTGAAGGAGGCGCAGGAAGGTGCTGGGCCTCGCCCAAACCACTCCAAATAGGAAGTATGAGGGTTTGGATGAGGGACAGGGTGTGGGGCAAGGTCCACGAACTGCACTTCTCCAAGCACCCTGCCCACACCGGGGCACCACATGAGAAGGAGCCCGGTGCTTAGTGCTGGGGGGGGACAGATTCGTGTCTCTCACCCACAGTCAGGGTGCCCAGCATGAGAGACCAGATTCCACAGTCGTGGCCAAGGGAGGCTTGTTCAAGAGGAGAGCTTGAGCTGAGCAGAGGACACAGTGTGGAGCAGCTGCAGGTCAGGTGGAAGGTGAGGGCAGCCCTGTGTCGAGAGCTTGGATGAAGGAAGGGCCGCCGGCGGGGCTGCAGCCCAAGGCTGGGCCTGGACATCGTGGTGACTTCTCTCGGCCTGAGGGCTTAGACTTGGTAAAGGAGCCAGAGCAGGGCCAACAGTATCAGGCCACCCCTACTTGTGGCCACCAGTGTCATCGGGAGGTGAAGTGGAGAACGCTTTCCAGTTTTCCTTAGGCTGCTGTAAGAAGGCTGTTCCAACCGTTTGTTGCTGTTTTGCTGTACTGGGGATTGAAACCAGGGCCTTCACACTGAGCTACATCCCCAGCCCTTTTCTAATTTTTATTTTGTTTTGTTTTTTGAGACAGAGTCTTGCTATGTAGTTCAGGTTGGCCTTGCGCTCACTATGTAGCTCAGGCTGGCCTCAAGCTCATGGCAGTCCTCCTGCCTCAGTCTCTCCTGGGATTAGGGGGATGTATCACCGTGTCCAGCCTTTTTAAAGTTTTGAAACAGGGTCTCACTAAGTCACTAAGTTGCCCAGGCTGGACTCAAACTTGCCTGTCAGCCTCTCAAAGTGCTGTTATTTCAGGCGTCCACCACCACACCAGGCCTCCAATTGATTTTTAAACACCTTCATGATTTTTTTCAACACCCACGAAATCGTGGCTGTCTCTGCTTTTAGTAAGCCAGTGCTCAGACTTTGGCGTCAATAAATGCTGAGGATCTGTTTGTAGCATATTTCTCATGTGATGGGTGTGAGGATATTGCTCCCTAATCTAGACATTTACGATTGTGTATTGTCATAAGAGAAAAGTCACCAAGCTACATCTTGTGCTTTTGTAAGGTGCAGCTCTGAAACTGCAAAATCTGCTCTGCCCATGTCAATCCAGTGGCCTTAGCACCTCCTGAGCACCCTCGGTGCTTCGGCTGCCTGGCACTTAGGAGTATAAGGGTGCACAGCGAGGGCCAGGGCAGAGAGCTGGCATTGTGCAGTCGCCTGTGTGGGCGCCCCGTGTTAGGCTGCGACGAAGGCTGCAGGTGTCGGATCCGG